AGCATCGTTTCAAGAACAAATAGCACAGCTAACCTGGCACCTCCCATTGGAAAGGAGCTGATGCTTACAGAGAGTTCTTGGGGCTGTTGTGGGTAAAGCTGCCATGACTGTAGAATCATGGAATCATTCAGGTGGGAAAAAAACAACTAAGAACCCCATGTCCAACCCCAACAGTTTCATTCTGGAGGTTCGGTATTAGAACATAACGTAACACAGCTATAGCAGAGCCCAAATGCAGACCCCACGCTGACAAAGAAATGGCACCACGGGGTGAATTTTTAATACCACGTGGATTCATCCGTTAAATACCGGGGCAGAACACGGAGGTGCGTTATGGGAAACGAGCACTTCGGGCAACGCACTTACCCATTGCAGCTGGCCTTACAGCCTTCATCAAACTCCTCATGCCTCAGAACCTTACGAATTAAACGTACACATATTAAAGATAGAAGGGAAAAAAAAAGGGGGGAGGAGGGGGAGGAGGGGGATAAACGGGCCGAGCTGGGGGCTGTGCTGTCTAAAAGAAGAGCAAACGCGATTCTGCCCGGTTCACCCTCCTCCCGCAGCGCAGGGCGTCTCCCCGGGGCTGAGAGCCGCGCTCCCGCTCAGTCCTCCCGCCCCCCGCACGGCGCTCACGCTCATGCCCAGCAGCTCCCGGTAGAAGCGCGCAGTCCGCGCGCGGTCGCCGACTTTGAACACGAAGTGCAAGGCGCGCCGCACCGCCATCGCTCCGCCGCCGCCCCGTCGCGCAGAAAGATGACGTCATCGAGCCCGACCTTCCCGCCGCGCACAGTGATGACGTTAGGAGGCGGCGGCGCGGCTGTGACGTCGCGGATCAAGATGGCGGCGCTGAGGCGCGCCGTGCCGGTGCTGAGCCGGGCGCTGGCGGGGCCCGGTGGGGCCGCCCCGGGACGGCGTTGGGTGCGGGCGCTGAGGCGCAGCCCTGTGCGGGTGCTGCCGCCGCTGAAGGAGCAGGCCGAGGCGCAGCAGAGCCCCGTGGAGCACCATCCGCCTCTCCCGGCTGTGGAGCGGGACTCGGCCGGGCCCGGGCTGTGGTACGAGAAGGCGTCGCCCGGCGACAGGAGCCTGGGGTGAGGCGCGACGGCGGGAGCGGCCCCGTCCCGGCAGCGCTCCCCTCACCTCACGCTTTCTACCCTCTTTTTCTCCCCAGAAAAGTGGTGACCATCGCTAAGTCGCGGAGTTTCCGCGACCGCCACGGGAAAGTGCTGCTGGAGGGGCAGAGGCTGATCCGGGACGCGCTGGAGGCGGGCGCCGTGCCCCGGGCTTTGTTCTTCAGCACCGCCCTGCACCTGAGGGAGCTGCCGTCGGCACCGCTGAAGGGAGCCCGCCTGGTGAGGGTGAGGTTCGAGGACGTCAAGTGCTGGTCCGACGTGGTGGCCCCGCAGGGGATGATAGGTGAGATGCGATAGAAACAGTGACAACGGTGCTCAAAGGGAAGTCATTCCACAGCTGATAAGCGGATAACGACGATCTCTGGCTTCTAGCAGCTCTGGCAGCGTGTCAAACACAGCGTAATTGGAGAGCTCCCTTCTGCTGTGAGAGCTGTGAAAGCGGCTGCTGGAGTCGTACAGGGTGCTAATGCTCGATTGTCACAGCACGCTGCTTTAGCTCTGCTGGGAAATGGTTCTCTCTGTGGAGTGACAAACTCTTCACAAATGTCCCTTATGCAGTGTGTCCAAAGATGGGCAATGGAGCTGTGCAGGGTGTGGAGCAGAAATCTTAGAGGGAGCAGGTGAATGAATTGGGATGGTTCAGATCCCTTGGCCTCGTGAGTGAGGCCTCATTGATCTCTACAGTGACTTGAAAGATTGTAGTGAGGTGGGGGCTGGTCTGTGCTCCCACGTAACAGCAATAGGACACAAGGGGATGGTCTCAAGTTGCACCACGGGAAGTTCAGGTTGGATATTTGGAAGCTTATTCTCTGAAAGAGTGGTCAAGCAGTGGGACAGGCTGCCCCATGAAGCGAGGGAGTCCCCATCCCTGGAGGCATTTGAGAACCATGGAGATGAGGCACTGAGGAACACAGTTCAGGGGGCCTGGAGGGAATTAGGTGGGGTTGGACTCAGGAATCTTTATGGTCTTTCCCTACCTTAATGATTCTGTGATTCCCTGGGGCTTTCTCCTGCACATCTACAGCTATGACAGCCAGCCCTCTCTTTGCGGTGCATCACCCAAAGCTCATCAGCACTTTGTCTCTTCAGGGATCTTCTCCAAGCCTGACCATGCCAAGATGTCCTATCCTGCTGCCCAGCTGCCCCTAGTTCTCATCTGCGACAACATCCGGGATCCAGGAAACCTGGGGACTATTCTGAGATCTGCAGCAGGAGCAGGTTGTGAAAAAGTGTTGCTAACCAAAGGTAAGGGCCTTTTTTCCAGGACAGGTGTTTAATTTGACAGATCTCTGGGGTAAGGCAGTGCTTAAAGATGTTGTTTCATGGAATTTGTAAGCAGTGTCCAGCACAGACAGGTTTTGCTGTGGGAAGCAGTTCCTGAGTCTTTGCTGGAACTGCTGCACTGTCACTGTTTTCCTCCCCTGTCTCAGGCTGTGTGGATCCATGGGAGCCAAAGGTGCTTCGTGCAGGCATGGGAGCTCACTTCCGAGTGCCCATTGTTGCCAATCTGGACTGGGAATCTGTTCCCAGCAACCTTCCTTCTGGTGTGCGGGTCTGCGTGGCTGACAACAAAGACCCAGGGGCTCAGGCTGAGGCAGAACCCACGTCCCAGGGAGCTGGCAGGTCTGGCTCCCTTTCTGGCAACCCAAAGGCTCCTGTAAAACCCAAACGCAAGGCTGCTCCTCCTGAACATGAAGACGAGGAGGGAATGGAGGGCGTCTGCGCCTCGGAGCTTGCTGCTCAGTATTACTATGAGAACTGGATACAGTCCCCAGCAGCAGTCGTGGTTGGTGGAGAGACCCACGGCCTGAGCCCAGACGCGCTTCACCTTGCAGCCAGCACAGGTGGGAAGAGACTGGTCATCCCTGTGGTGCCTGGTGTGGACAGTTTGAACTCTGCTGTAGCTGCTGCCATTGTGCTGTTTGAAGGGAAGAGGCAGTTGCAGTGGAGGAAGCACAAGCAAGAAGATGAAAGGCAGAAGTTCCCAGTAGTGGGATAAACTGCTGAGACTTGGGTGCTGAAGCAGCACCCCTTCCCTTTGGCACTCCGCAGAGGAATTAATTAATAAAAGAGCAGCCTGGTCTGTTTTGTTTGCTAAGAGATTGTTAAATAGCTGTGCCTGGAACTAGCCTCTCTTGCTCTGTGCTAGTGCAAGTGGAGCATGAGCTCCCCAACTTACCTGTGTGTGTGTGTGTGCCCCGGGGGGTGGGAGGAGGGACACAGCTTGCCCTGTGCCTCGCCAGGAATGCTGCAGAGAGGTGAGCAGAGCTCCATTCACACCAAACCCCACGTAGCAGCTGCAGTAGCATCAGTGCCAGCCTGGCCAGGATGCTGCTGGCAAAGCATGTCATTCCTCTTGCAGCCCTTAGGCTGTGCAACCACCAGTACTGCTGGACTGCTTGCCTGGGGACAAAGGAGCCACTGTACTTGTGGCTCTGGGTTAGGAATGCCTGACAGCTGCCACCTGAGCAGCTCCTGTCCATGCTTACACAAACCCTGTGCCTCATCAGGCACCCCACTGTGATGCAGGGCAGCAGAGCACCAACAACTGTGCTACTGCCAGGAGGTGGCAGTGCTTGTCCCAAGCAGCTCAGCTCTGGCAGCTGGGCCTCAGCACTGATAAATTATGAATGAGGGACTGGAAGAGTGAGCTGCAGGCACTGCTGCTCCTCAGATGGATGTTCACAGTGAGAGTAAGACCGGGGGCCCTGTCCATGTCTCCTTGAGGACAGTATTAGCTTGCACTAACACCCTCCTCCGCTGCAGGACTGGGGGCTCCTGCCCACGTTGCACGATGCTCTCAGCTTCCCTGACAGCTGTGTGTTGACTGACAGCTCCTGTGACAGCGCTGGCTGCCACCTGCCTTCACTGGCTGCGAGTTGCATGAGCTGCTCACTCAGCCACTGCTGGCTCCTGTTTCCTGTTACCACCGAAAGGTCATCGACAGGTCTGATTGTGAGACACCCAGACTGCCAGCCTCCTCCACATCTAAGCCCTGATAGCTGAGGACTTAGCAGGCATTAGCTCACAGCTGAAAGTGCTCCAGCCAACCAGTTCTATCCCCACAGACTGGTTCTGTCCTGGTTCCCATCAAATCGACCCCATACAACCCAATTCTAGGGCAGAAAATTGCTGCTTTGCTCCAGTTCCTACCAAGCAGTGACCTGCGTGACTGTGGCAGGCATTGCTGCCTCTCTGGGAGCCCCAACCGCAGTGTCCAGAGGGAAACAAATACGGGCTCTCCCTGCCTACAAACATCAGCCACTGCTGCATGACCAAACACTACAGACACCGCGGTTCCAGTTCCAACCTCACTGTAACTGTTTTTCAAACCACAAACACGAGATTGCCCCCAAACCGGCAGGACCTGCAGTACGCAGACAACGTGCGCTAGGTGGCAGTGGGGTCTGGAAGTGATTCTATTGCCTAGCTGCTCCACACGCAGCAAGAACTGGGACTGCAATCGCACTGCGCGCTCCCTTAACCCTGAGGTGGATGGTAACTCACCAAAGCACTGCTCCCTCAAAAAATCCCCAGAAAAGAGGGGATCTGAGTTAATTCAGCTCATCGGGGGCACTACGGAAGCAGGGCTGAGCCCACCTTCCAGCCAGGTGCTGGGGAGGGCAGTGAGCTGTGGCTGACAGCTCCACCGTGCTGCTGCTTCCTGACCGCCTCACAGCTCAGCAAACCAGCACCGAACACGAGAATCTGAAACGTGCAAAACAACAAGAGAGATTTACACCATTTCTGCCTTTTCCGCACTTGGCTGCTTTTCCCAACTCCTGCCAGGGTGGGTTGCTGTAACAGTGATAAAGGGAGAGGCTGTAATCCTGCCATTGCTGACAAACGAGCTGAAAGGAAACGTGGTGGCTCACACAACGCCCACTATTGAGCTCCAGGACACCGCCCTGATGGAAACAGCACCGGGGTCTGTGCTGGGCTGCGGGACGCGGCAACCGGCACCTCCCAGCTCGGTTATTCCATCAGTTTTATTACAAAGTTCCAATCACCATGTACAGTTTTTACAATGTCACTTTCGGGAGGGCTTGGCTGTGCTGCTAAGGACTGGAATCTTTTTTTTTTTTTCTTTTTTTTTTCTTTTTTTTTTTTTTTTTTAAAGAACAGCACCATTACTGTCAGGTTTGGGACACACCTACAAAAAACAACTAACATAGAAGGGTCGACAATTCATACCAGAGAGAAGGAACAGGAAAGGGAGAGGGGATAGGGAGAGCACAAGGGAGAGACCACGGGGAGACGAGGGCAGCCTGGTGGTGTTCTGCTCCTGGCTCAGTGCAGGAGGGATATGTGTGTGCCACGGGGGGGTTGGACTGCCCCAATGTGCGCAGCCAATGCTGCATAAGGCTGTCGGTGTGTGGGGTGGGAAAACTACCCAGGAAGTTCTCACCCCGAGGGGGAAAAGCCCGGCTGCGCTGTGGTCTTTCAGAGGTTGTCAGCAGTTAAGACTTTGTTTGGCCTCATCAGGGCACTGTTACTCAAGTGGGGAAGGAAGGTGGGGCAGGGGCAAAGGGGACAATTTCCTTATTGCTTCCTTAAAGTAATTTAGTCGGCAGAGGTTGTAGGAAAGGAAAGAAAAGGGAGAAGGAGGAAAAAAAAAGAGCCCCGAGAACCCCATCCACCGCCTGATGCATACGTTGGGAAGAACACCATGCAAAAAGATTTGCCTGCTAGCTAGTGCCATGTATAAAGTAAGTACGGTAACAGTTCTGGCCTGGTTATTAGAGAATATATCACCACGAAGCACAAGCGAAGTCTCCGAACGCCAACGACTCCCTGCTGAAAGTGCATCTCAAGGAGTTTGCTTAGGAGAAGGATTCACTGCGTAGAACAAGGCACCACAAGAAGGTTGGATACTGGGTCGGGCGTGAGAACACGCTGGAGAATCCATGAGCGGCGGAAGAGAGACCTAGTTTTAAATAATGTCTGTGGGTGCAGAAGCTCCCTTAGATGGGCTCGGGTTTTAGCTTGTCTGCTAGAAAGTCGCTGACGAAGGCTTCCACGATCTCCGGCGTGATCTCCTCCACATCCATCACATACTTGGCTCTGGCCGACATGTCCAGGATGGTGAGCAGGGGTGCAGCCTCAGGCAGGTTGGTGTAATCCCGGAGAGAGTCAGTCATGTCATCCTGGAGGCCAAAACGAGAGGGAGAGAGGAGCATCAGCAGAGCTACACATCCAGGAGCAGCGCTGCTGCCATGCTGCACATCCCAACAGAGCGCTGCGCTGCAACGTGCTGAGCCCTACCACCTACCCACAGAGCAAACCCAGGCTTCATTCTCACCCTGCTTCTTCTTACCCCTCTCCAGCCCCTTCCTTCCTCTGTTTCACACCCCCCACCAGGACCTCTCACCCCACAGGCAGACCCACAGTGTGTGTGAGTGCAGGCCCAGAACCCACAGCACACTCAAGCAACGCGCTCAGCAGCCAGACAAATCACAAAAGGGAAAAACTCATTTATCACTGCTGGGGCTGTGGAATTCAAACGTCGATGCTGGGGCAATTCATTTCCTGAGCACGGCAGGGAAATGTGGGGACACACAGGGGCCGCGTCCAGATCGCCTGGTCATTGAAACCGGGCATTTCTCTGAGCAGTTTTCCAACAGCAGCGATGGAAATAAAGGAATCCAGAGGCGGCTGGGAGCAATGCAGCACGGGGCGGCGGCCGGCAGGGTGGTTCCTATCGCGCCTCCCCTTCCACTGCAGGGTTTTCTGGCGCAGGACCACGTGGCAGGGAAGGGAGAGCAGGGCTGGGCCTGTGACCTCGGCCCCCAGCGCTTCCCACCTCTGGGACCGGCCAAGAGCCGAGGTGTTGGGATGCCTCGTCCTTTATGTGATCGCTGCAAAGCAACTGAAACCTTTTAATCAATGCAAAACCGGCCCAAAGGCACTGGCAGAGGAATGGGAGGCGCCTGCTCCGGCCGCGGCCTGGTTGCATTGTGCACTGGGGCCAACGGAGACCCGAGGCCAGCAGCCAGGGCTATTGAGGTGACGGATGAATGGGACGTGCCGGATGCTCCCCATTCTTCGGCCCTGCTGCCACAGGGATGTCGGGAGCCGCATGAATAGCAGCAATGTTTCAGCTGCAGCCAGCAAGCAGGAGGAAAACGCTTCGCAGGCTCTGGGGGAGGGGGGCAGCTCCCAGACCCTCACCATAGAACCCTTCCAACAAGAGACTCATTCAAGGGCGTGGGGCCGAGTTGGGACTTTCAGAGACCCGTCACGGCCATGGGAGCACAAGTGCCTGGGTGGAGGGGGCCCAAGGGGCTGTGGGTGGTGGTGGTGGGGGGAGCCCGGTGCGGCATTGCAGGCCTCTTTGTGTGCTGGGCGGCTCCGGGGGACCCGCTGGTGCGCACTGCGGCTGTGACGTGAGCATGGAGGCCGGGCGGGCGAGCAAGCGCACAGCAGCTTGGCAGTTCCCACCTTCCTGGGTCCCACAGGAGGGGAGCCAGGAGCTTTTTTAGAGCCTGACGCAAAACCTTTCCGGTTTGCAAGCCTATAGAAGGGTGAAACGCTACACAGACGACAAGAGTGCCCTGCTTCCCTGAAGGCCAAGAGCAGAACCCTGGCTCTGGGCACTCTGCGCCACATTCCCAGCACCAGTCCAGCCACCAGTAGCGTGGCAGCTTGGGAAACACTCATTTCCCACACATAAGTGAAGCCCAAGAGAAGGGAGTGCTGTGACAAAGCACCTTACAGCACAGCAGCCAAACCTCAGGCCTTGCAGATCTGCTCCGCAGGCAGCCCCTGCCCATTCCCAAAGGCAGTTTTGTCCAGCATTATCTGCACGGCACAGAAATCATCCCTCCCCATGGGATCGGGGCTGCCTCCACCAGAACTGGGCAGGCAGTAGCATGCAAACCAGCTGCAGGCCAGGCTCATCCTACACCACAGCCAGGGGCTGCCCCATCAACTGGGCGAGTGCACCCTGGGGTCCCTCACTTCAAAGCTGGGATGAGGAAAACCCTCTCCAGCGACGTGGGAGGGCTCTGCTCTGCTAGCCTCTCCCCTTCCAGGCAGCCTGGGCTGGCCTGGCCCAGCTCCCAGCAGAGCCCATGCTGCCAGCACATGCTGGCACCACCGCGATGACTTTGGGCAGCTGCCAGCCCATTAGGGAAGAGGCTGGAGTGCTAGTCCCTTCCCTTCACTCAGGGTGGCAAGAAAAGCAGCAGCACTGCAGTGAGGTGGGAAGCACAGCCAGGCTGACCTGGCTGCCAACAGACTGAAAGCAGAGACTGACTGGGAGTGCTGCCCGTGCAGCCAGCACACACAGCCCCAGTGTTTGAAGTGGCCGCATGGAGCTGGGAGCGCCAGCGTGGGAGCTTGCCACCCACTCCTGTCTCCCAGTGCCCATCTCTGCCTGTCCCCACCAGTTCCCTTCCTGGCCTTGAGGCTTTCCCACCTTTGTACAAGCCCAAGACTCAAAGTACTGAGGGCAACTTACAGCAAAACTTGGGAAAGAATCCCTCAGCTACTAGAATCCAACGCAGGCTGCGTGGCTGCACTCAGCTCAGCTGAGTTCATGACGAGTTGCTGCAGCTCCATGTCTCAGTTTACCCACCTGGACAGCAGACAGCACTACCCAACCCAGCTCAGATCCTGAGGCCTGTGGCTCAGCAGCACACAGGATGGAAACTGCCCTATTTCCACCAGCCCCAGCAGCGCAGGATGCAGCCCTGTGCTTGCAGGGAGCCCTCACGTTCCCCTCCTGCTTACCTCGCCTGCCACAAAGAAGAGCAACGGTGCCTCCTCCTCTTTGGCTTTGTACTTAGCAATGATTTTTTCAGCTATGGGCTGAATCAGTTGTTTCGCTGCCTCCGACTCTCCGTCATCCTCTGAATCTGCAGGGCACAGATGTGGGGAGACAATACAAAAAGGTTAGGATCAAACAGATGCAAACAGCCCGGGGCACGGGCAGCTCTACCCCACAGCAGCAACAAGGAGGAAATAGGAGTCTGAACACACAGCAGCAACTTCAAAGCCATGCGGCTGTGTAGCAATTAGGGAGCAGCTGAATTGCACTTTTCATGTGAGACAGGGAAACATGTAACAGAAGAGCAGCGCCCGCTCCCAAAATACTTCACCGCTTGCTCCCTTGGTGCTGCTGCTGCTGCAGCACAGGGACAAACAGAAGCAACAAAGCTGGTGTGCAGCTTGAAAAGGTAGGGCTGTTTTGAAGACCAAATGAACGAGCTGCCTGCCACCCTGCCCGCCACCCACCATCCCTCCGCCTCGGGACGGCAGCTCAGCAGCTTTTCTGCTCGAGTCTCCGCGGCGGCGGCTCTGTAAAGGCAGCTTTGATTTGCCAGAGGTAGAGTAGAAAGAGATGGAAACATCAATCAAATGCCAGCCACCACTGAAGTTCAAATACTGAATTGGAGAGAAGAGAGACAGCGTCCTTGAGCAGCACCTAGATGAAACGATTTCAATTTGGGGACAACTTTCAGCGAGAAAAAAAATAATAAATCATTAAAACAAAAACCATAAAAAAAAAAAACCAAGAAAACAGGCTCCTTGTTGCCTGGCAGTGTGCAGCTCGTGTGAACCCCTGGAACCACCTGGTGGGCACTTCCCAGTACCAGAGCTTTTGCACAGTGCTTCCCCACCTCCTCCCTGGCTTCTTCAAGCAAAGACAAGAACGCTGAGGACACTGCATGCTGCACTGTTGGATGTGTCCTGTGTGGACGACAGAGATAAATACTTAGAGCTGTGGGGCTTATGCAGTGATTGATTTTTCTGCTAACAAACGCTGCTGGCTGCACTCCAGGCCAGCCCTCAACATTCTGGCTAACCCAGCCCTAAACTCTCCAGCGGCAGATGTACATCGCTCAGCATTTATTCACCCCCGATTCTTGCTAAGCCCACTGACACAGCCCCGACCTCACACACTGCACTCAGCAAATCCCACGTCCCTCCCAGTGCCTCAGGCTGCTTCTTCCTGGGGGTGCTGCTGTCTCCAGGTGACCCCAACATCAGCTGAACACGGAAAGCACAACTGAGCTCTGCACTGCCCCAAAAAGCAAGGACACTGCTGCTGGGGGTCTCTCAGCTGGACACAGATTGGCCAGAAGCCTCCATCCCCACGTTCCCCATGCACGACTTAGTGCAGCACCAGCAGCTTTCTCCAAGGCTGAGCATCCCCTTGGACCCAGGCGAGAGCCCTGGCCGCTGTTTGCAGAAAGGTGATAGAAAAACTTTGCTCAGAGCAATACAAAAATAACTCTTTCTCGAGGCCTGCAGCGACAGCCCCCATCAATCACACTCAGCGTGGAGAGCGAGTCCTCCCAGCTTGAGGAGAGTATTTTTGGCTCTGTGCTCACATCCCCTGCTGGGTTCTACTGAATAAATAATCAGGGTCAAAAGGAAATCTGAAAGGGAGGAAGGGAAAGAGCAAGAGACACATCATAAATGCTGCAGAAAAGGGTTTTTCGCTAACAAAGGGGGCATGAGGAAGCAGGACACATGCCCTGACTGCGTCCCAGCAGCCCCCAGCACGCTCCAGTGCCTGGCAAGCAGGCTCAGGGTGACACAGGCTCTTCAGCAAACCCACTGCACTCTGATCAGGGCAAGTGCAGCTTCCCCACTGGGCTCTTTTGGTCATTAGGATCACTGGTGAGATTTCACCATCTCCTGCTGGAGGGGAAGGACTAGGACAACCCAGCTGTGCTCCAGGCCCATCTCCAGCCACAGCTGAGCTTCATGGGTGGGTAAGCAGGAGCAGAGGAACCCCAGCTTGGGAGGGGAAGTCTGTTTTGTCCTGCAGCCAGATCCCCATGTAGAGGGGACACTCAAGAACCAACAAACCTTGCTCAGCCATGGAATTCAAGCCCTGAGCTGCAGTTGCCAGCATACAGCTGTAACCCTTCTGCCTCCCAAGCTTCAGGTATCAGCTCCAGAAAAGGCCTTCCTCCTCTCAGCCACCACCAGTGCATTTCTAGCACTCTTCAATATTAATTAGCATGCCTCACCACAGCCACCACTAAAGCGCCTTTTATGACAGCTCCTCTCTGCTGCAAATGGCTGCTCCTCAGCATGTCTCACTGCAGGGCTGGATTTGCAGAGTTGGAGGTGCAGACATGGGCATGGCTCTGGCAAACCCCTGTGAGCGGCAAGCAGCCTATGTTCCATTAGGGAGCAAGTTCCAGGACTGTCACCCTCTTGAATCCCCAAAGGGGAGGCAGCAAGCTGCAGAGCCCTCGCAGCACACAGACCCCTCCCTGCCAGGATTTGGCTCCGTACCTACAAAGAGAACAAGGCAGGGGCCCTCGTTCAGTTGCACAGCGTTGGAGTCCGTCAGCTCCAGCACAGGTTTGGGGTGCCAGGGGAACTCTCGGCATTCGATGTCATTCAGCACCTCCACCCGCCCCTGCCGTGTGATCACCTCTCCCTGGGAGTCCAGCACAATGAGTGTTGGGATGCCTGTGATAGGAGAAAAACAGGGATTAGTGGCCAAAGTGCTAATATGGGAATAAAAGGGTGTGGGGAAAAGGATCCGTCCTATTGCCTCTGATCTGGCAGGAGCCCAGCGTCAGTTGCAGCCACTGCAGCTTATGTGATGGGAAGCGGGATCCCTGGATCCTGTTTCTGCTCTGGGAGAGCAGTAATTGAGGAGCCAGAGCAGGAAGCTGGGAGACAGGCTCCGGCATCGCCTTCCTTTCCTGTCTGACTACAGGGAGAGCTCACGCACTGCTGCCCCACGCTGATGTTCCTGCACACAACCTGTGGCACAGCAGAAAGGACCCTGCTCAGGAGCTCACTGCATCTCACAAAGCATGGACAGAATTGTCTCCCGTGTGCACAGCAGAGCTCAGTACCCACACATCATCACCCCAGCCTGGAGACTCGTGGTTCAAAGCATCACAAGCAAACCTCGTGGCAAGGCAGGCTGCAAGCAGCAGCAGCCAGGAAGCAGGGTGTGTTTGTTCCCAGAAGAAGCCCACATTTCAGCAGCCATGAACTCCTTCATGAACCCCCCACACCCCTTCCGACACAGAAGTAATCATCCCATCATTTTCACAGCACACATCTGGGTCCAGCAGGTCACAAATATTGCATGGCTGCGACACCATTCTGTGTATGGAGAGGCAGACACCTGAGGTCCCCAGCTGATGAAAGGCTGAGGAGCAGAATGCAGCTGCACAGCAAGCACAGCCTTCACTGAATGAAATGGCCAAACAGGACTACTGGTCCTTGCTGGGAATGCTCCAAGGAACTGGTGCAGGAACAGAGCTGGGCAGCTCTGCTGGCACCACCAGCCCAGCAGTTAAGCAAAGGGGAAGTTAAGCTCAGTGCTAATTCATTTGTGCTGCTCCTTCCCTCCCCAAGCCCCCAGGGGACCAAGGGGATGTGATGCTGGGACCCTGCTCCAATGATTGTGCAGCTCCTGCCCCAGCACAGCACTGGGGCTGTGGGAAAAGCTCTGCAGGCACCGGGCTGCAGAGCTACTGGATACTTCCTGCACTTCAAATCAATTTTGCAGGTAATTATTTCACCTTTTATTACTTTGGAGCCTGCTCCCATGTTATTAAAAATGCTGTCCTGCTGGGTTTGCACATCGCACTTCTAGCTGCGTGTGCACCAGCAGCTGCTCAGACTGCAGAACGCACCGTTATTTACCATCCCCTGGAGCTGAGCAACACCAGATGGCACAGGGACCATGCAGAGCTGTGCCCTTAACCCAAAAAAGTGCCTTCTGTCTCGGGCAGAAAGCTGGCATCCAACAAACGGATGTAGGTGCACACCAAAACTGCAAGATTCAGGATGAGTGCATGCACATGGATGCACTGAGCCTTCCCTGGCTGTGCTGCCAGCCCATAGGATGCTGCCAGCACCTCTGGGCAGGGCCATGTCCTTGCCAGGGGACAGCGTGGAAGCAGATGGGGAAACTGAGAATCCCTCACACCAGTGCCGGCCTGCAGATCACTGGCACTCATCCAAGCTGATTTCCCCAGCTGGGGCCCAGAGCTGCTCATTGCTGAGCACAATGCAGCTCCTCCAGCCCCAGTACAGCCAGGCTGAGTGCCCTCCTGCCTGCAGGATGGGGGTCCTGAGTTGTTTATTTCTGCAGCAGCCCTTGGGAGAGGGAGGAATGCATGTTCTGCTTCATCCTTGGAAAACAAACAAAGAAACAAACCAAAACCAGAGAAATAATCAGTTAAATATGTCCCTCTATACAAAGATGGATAAGGGTAGATGCGGCATAGTCCCTCTCTCCTGAGAATAATGTGTGGCCATGTGGCAGAGAGTGCCAATTTAGGCCAGAGCACCATTCTGCCCAGAGCTATAGGGCTGGAAAGCCCAAGGATAAAACAAAAGCCTTATGAGGAGTGCACTAAAATGAGAACCTGAAAACACAGCCAGGATAGGTATGAGAAGAGAAAGGGATCCCAGCAATAGCTAAGGGATTTTTCTTCTTGGTTGCAGAGAGAGTGGCTTTAATGATGCTTTCATTCATCCCACCTGGCTGCAGCAGACGTCTTAAGACAGCTCTCCCAGGAAGCCTTAAGCACAAGCTAGAAAAACACAGCAGATGTGACACAGGCTCAGAAGAAATGCAGCTTTTCACATCAGGACCAGCTGCAGCTCTGCTCTAACGACACACAAGACAAACTGGGAATAAAGGCAAGGTTTCACCAGAAGGCAGTGGGCTGCTGGCTCTGCAGGCTGTGGGGCCTTGGCCCTGGGATTTGCTGGCTGGGACAAAGCAAGGAGTGGCTGCATGCAGCTGAGATTTAGCACAAGTCAATTCCCAACACCTGACCAGGTACTGTGCAGGGGATACCAGCTGGTGACTGTCTCAGCCAGTAGCACACAGAGGAGGCTTCCAGGCCCCAGAACTGATAGCTATGGCAAGCCCCTGCAGTGTGGCCCTGGGGGTGAATGGTGCTGAATGTCAGTGAGATGCTCTTGGGACACGCCTGCAGGCAAGGCTCGTTCTGCACTGACTGCTGATGGCTGCCCCTGACCTGCAGGAGGATGGAGCTGCAGGAGCTGGTGGTCAAAGCCAACAGGAGTGGCTCATGCTGGTGATTTCATCTGGGAAAAACACTGTTTTCTGTCATAAAGGACATGAAAAAACATCCCGAAAGGAAGGAAGAGGGAGACAATTTGATACCGGGCCCCAAGAGACAGGGGCCAGGCAGCCCGTGTCAGCAGCAGGCTCTGCTGTCAGATACTCATCACTCAGTGCTCAGCCCAATTGCTATCAGGCATTTCCTCATCCACCCAACAACAGCTTCCAAATCACAGCAGCAAACTGAGACAGCAAACCTTCCTACCCTCGCCTCTAAGCCCAAAGGTTCATTTCAAGCCACATTTATTAGAAATACTCGATCAAATCATTTTCCATGCAGGAGAAACCAGCGTGCTACTGCTGTCTCCTGGCACTGTCGTCCTATACAACAGTGGGTTACTCACGAGCCCTCTGAATTCTAGGCATTTCTCTAGGAAATACATGGCTGACTGTCTGTCCCAGCCTGCCTGCAGGTCCAGGCGAGCGGCTGCATTCCCCTCATTCCAGCCCAGACAGGGCTGCTCACATTCCTCCCATGCACGGGGCTGCACTCGTTGGGTCAGCTGCAGGAGCTGCACAGTAACACAGCGTGATGGTTGGGCTTGCAAACCCTAAGGGAATGCCAAGAAAGAGATTTTCTATCACAGAAAATCTTATTCATTACCTTCTGGTATTCAAAATAGCTCCAGGGCAGGGAGAGGTTACACAGAGTGGAAGCAATTGGGAAAACTCTCTCTGTCCCTACCCTGCAAGGCACAAAGCATCAGAAATACTACTGAAGCCAAGAGAAGCACATGATGATCAGCACCCCACATAATTCAGGTCTTCATCCATTTACGATTCACATCCTCACCCTGGATGCCTGCTATTTGGTCCCCTCCAGACCTGCATCATCTGAGAGATGCAGCCAGCCAGCCCACAGCACTGGGTCTGTGGGATCAGCTCTCAGCAAGGCCACAGCCCTTCCTGCACCTCCTTTTGCCAGCGAGCCCCAAAGTCCAGCAGACTGAAGCAGGCTGCAAAGGAGCCCGTCTGACCTGGGAATAATCAGGGCCTGCTCTAGACACAGGTCATCCTGTTAGTGCTACCCCACAGACACCAGTGATTTCATCTGCTATTCAGAACATTTAGATCTGCATATGCAGACACGCACCAAAGCACCCAGCTGCTAAAACTTCCAAGACTCAAAAAATAAGACTCTAAGATAAACCACCCTGTGTTTTAACGTTTTTGGGAATGCCAATAACACATCTGAAATCTTGAGGCCGATTTCACGATTTGCAGCCTGTTGAGAGCCACGTGACATGCAGGATCCATAAATTTCACCTTTCATTTGGCATCAGAAGCTCCTCATCAACCACAAAGCTCTACTTTCCTTTCTGGATCCATATGGTGAAGGCTGAGGTTGCTGCAGTGCATCTGTCCCTGTTGCCACGGCCACCCCAGAGCATACTGAGCACTGTCTTGGTCTCCTAAACTCCTTCCCCTGCATCTCTGGCTGGGCATCCTTAACCACCAAGCCTTAAACCAAACCCACACCTGCTAACCTGGGTGCTTCCCACCCCCTCCCTACTCACCTACAGCCACTACGTGTTATTTTAGAGCCTTTTGGGGGCTCTGGTAATTGCCGTGAGTCATAACACCAGAATTTAGTTATCAAGAAGAATCATAGATCAGACGTTCTGCAATGAATATTGTATAAGCTTTAGATGAGAATTAGCACAGACTGGCTCAGTTTGACTCTACGCATTAGAAAATGGATTCAGTTCCCACGAGGCGAGCATTTTGCGAAAACATGGGGGCCAAATGATTTGTTACTGAACCTGGCAATGCATTTATTTATATATTAAAACCCATATCCGACATGGAAATCTCATCTGCATTAAGTCTTGGCTCAGCAATCAAAATCACCATGAATAAAACGCTCGGAGAACACAACGGTGGGGTTTTATTGCTGGGGGTTTTTTTGACCTCTTTAGAAGAAAGCTTCTGAAACCCAGCACAGGAAACCTCTCCTGGCCATGACTTCCCAGCTGGGCTGTGGAGTGACCAGAGGGTGTCTGGAACAGAGCCCAGGGCTGAAACAACAGGTCTCTGAAGCTCCCCCAGGTAACTGCAAATCCCACAGTGCTGCAATGCATCCCGCAGGAAACTTCCAGGATCACAAAATCTCTCCTAGGACATGGCAATAAAGGACAATTCCCATCTAAGTACAGCATTCATTACCAGTCCCTGCCCAAAAAGGAGAGTTAGGAGACTTCATCTATGACAGCCACACACAAGCACGCAATAGAGAATTCTTTATAAGAAGCTGTGATACGAGAAACAACTCTCTCTCAAGACAGTGCTGCACCCAGAAGCAATTTAATATAGGTGGGTATGGCACAGCCCACTGACTGCACGTGGGTTATGAATAGAAGCATTCAAGTCAACCCAAATAAAGGCCAATAACTCAACTTACATTTTACACTGACTTTTTTGAATGCTGTAGGGGCCAACACAGGACTAAAACAACATGAGGTCTGACTGTCTTGCTGCTTTCCAGCAGCCCAGCGCTGTTCAGGAAGACAAGTTCTTTTGTTGTTCCAGCTCCAGGAAGGGCTCTGCTGGCCTGAGAAAAATCAGAGGAAAAGCCACCCTGCAGACACAACCCGAGGCACGTGCTCCTACACAAGGGATGCCTGGTGTCAGAGGCCAGCAGGGCTGCACAGGGCTGCATGGATGCTGCTCCCTGCACAGTGCTGTGAGGACTGAGAACAAAGGCAGCTGCTGGAGCAGCACAGCGTTGTCCAAGTTTGGCAGGAAATGTGGGAAGCCAAGCAGGCAGTCACAGAGCAAAACTGCTCGAATGCTCTGTGAGGATGAGGAGTCATTGCCTGTGCAGGGACAAGTGACAACCCAGCAACCGCTGGGAGCAGGGAGGAGGTTCCCCCCAAAACATATAAACCAGTCCTCTACATTTCAGCGTGACTGCCCATCACACTTCATACTTGCAGGGAGGTTCCTACTTTATGAAAAAACTGAACAAGTAGGGTTTGCAGTCCAACGCGCCCAAATCCCAGCGTCAGCATCCCCAGTAAAGCATCCCTGTCACGTGGGAATACGAGGGGTAAAATGGGAGCTATGTCAGTGAGGAAAGGGTCAGGGCACATGGGAACAGCAAATGTTTACATTTTCAGGTCAGCACACAACCAAGAGAGACATTTAAGGAGACAGCGGCTGAAGTGAAAGGGAAGGCTGTTGTTACTGTTTCCCTGGCTACAGCACACTCAGTGCTGAGTATCCATGTCTGGACACCTTATTTACAGAAAGTCCCAGCGAAACTGGCAGCAGTCCTGCAGGGCTCCACCGAAACCAGCGCTGGAGAAGGTTTTGAGCAGGCTGGGGAAAAGACAGGTGAACATGGAAAGCTTTTGCCTCGTGGGAAGGTAATTAAGAAGCAAAATGATGGCTATTTAAAGCAGGCTAACAGTTATTCTTGATTTGAGGTCAGAGAACAGAGCACAGTGTTGGCACCTGAGCTCACCCCCGAAGGGGAGTTCAGGGAGGATTCTGAAGAGGGATCGTTTCTCCTGCTCGCTGGGCTTCTGCCAAATGCTCCTATCAGCAAAACTATCCCACTAAAGTCAACACGGATGAATAAGCTGAAATGAATGCACTCAGAGGTTTGGCCACTCTGGGACCCTGCTGCTGCTGATGCTTTGCAAAAGCGATGCAGGCAAATACAGGAGGGTAAAACGTGATCACCAGGATGGTCCGTGGACCCTCACTGACGTCCCCAGGCACCTTTGGCAACATTCCTGTTTCTCTGCCTGCCTCAGCCTGCACCCACCTGGTTGATGTTGCACTGAAACAATGAGAAACACGCAGTTTGCAGCAAGACTGGTGGCTCTTTATCTCCTAATTCCTTATGTACAAGGAGAAATTCTATGTATACACGGAAGCTTCCTTGCAAGCTATTTACCTTTCACATCTCTGCAGTGCACCTCATCCCCTGCACCAACAACATACCGGTTCCCAGGAGGGCTGCTGGGAACTTTTATCATCTCTGGGACACTCTCAAAACACCCAGACAGAGAGAGCCTCTCCCTGCCCTCTGAGCAGCTGAGGCTGCTGGATTCTGGCACAGACGCATACAGTAAAGGCAAAGCCATGGTTTACATCAAACATGCACTCTTCTGTAATTCATGCTGCTAACATAAACCAGATGCCATCTTCCTCAGCCTCTGCAGAGAATGATCGCCTGCCTTTGCATTACATAAAACAGCAAGAAAATGAAATTTAAACCTTCAAGAAAAGACAAAATAAATAAATCAGTAATTAGGTAAAAAACATCCAAGCCAAAAAAAGCTTCCAAGTTTCCAGGAAGAATTAGGTTGTTTATGGAAGTCCTGTTTCGATTAACAGCCTGCCTGGCAGGTGGTAGGAATGTGAGTTTGCGGAGAGCAGAAACATGAAGCAGCTCTGCCTGGGGGCACTGCGCTTTGCTTTGCCATTTTCTTGTTTTAGTTACACAAGAGGAGACACCACAAACGTTCAACAAGAGCAGCAGAAAGGAGAGTTGCACCTCAGAAGGGCCTTTCCTACCTTGTATGCCATAGAGTCGATTCAGGCGTGACCGTCTGGCTTCATCCGCATACGGCACAGCTACCCAGGGCATCTCGCTGAAATACTGCTTGAAGGAATCCTCCGACCTGTGCAACAGAACAGGGCAGGATCCTCAGTGCTGCCCCACTACCTGACACACCCCTTATCCTCATAGAAAACCTGGCCTACAAAGACCTTTCCCCGCTGCACTAAGCCCACCAGCAACTGCCTCTGGGAAACACAAACCTGGGGCGAGCTGCACTAAATTTCAAGCCCAAATTTCTCCAGAAAGGGTCTGCAGCAGGCTTTTTGTGATAAAATACCTCCAAGGCCGGTTGCTGGGTGGCAATCAGCTCTGCCTGCACCAAGAGGTACCACTTCATTACCTGTCTGCACTAACGAAGAGGATCTCAAATTTCTGGCCAGCCTCCTTGATCTTCCGGTACGACTCCACCAGGACCCGTGTGAGGCTTCGGCAGGGAGGGCACTGCAAAACAACACACACATGGGCACACTGTCTAGATGATGGAGCCATCGCCAAAAGCCAAACGTGATCTCTTCTCTTCTGGAGAGCCATGAAACAGCTTTGGATGTGGCTGCTGTTAACAGTAGGAGGTCACCAACTCCCGAAATTGCTGCCAAAATCTCTCCCACTTTGAAAATTCTTCCCCTTCCGAAGAGTCAGATGAGGATGTCATGCAATTGTAATGCTGCTGGCTTCTACCAAAAGGACCAGGGCATCTTAACTGCTCATGCACCAACCGTCCTGAGGTCTTCAGCCTCTTGCAGAGGTTCTGCAGAGGTTGGCAGTGATTCCTCACCTCGCCCAAGGGCTGCCCAGAGCTCACTGCAATTGCTCTGCAGAGCACCCACCACTCACCCAGTGTGCAGAGAAGTAGACCCCGACATGAGAGCCCTCCAGAGCACTGCTGTCCAGTGTCTGGCCGTTGTTCCTTAGCAGAGGTCCAGCAACAACTTCACTGAAGGGTTTTGGCCCCCACGGGAACTCCAGTCCTAGAGAGGGTTGGGATGGGAGTGGGGAAAAAAAAAACAAAATATAAAATAGGAAGCATATGGAGCATTTACAGCTTCAAAAGCTCCACTAAAAAGCCATCCTGCCATTTGAAAAGATACGGGGGGTGCTATTTGAGGGACCCTATTGAGGCTCACCCCGTTAAAGGGGGATGTAGAATTACTCAACTGCCCTGGCACCACCACAGTGTTGCCTTGAGCACCCAGAGTGACCTCAGCTCCACAGGTATCTGCATCCGTGCCCAAGTCAGAGCAACTTCTGCTCTGGTTTTGTGCCTGATAATGCATCTTTTCCTTATCCACAGTGTTTGTTTAAACAACAGGGGCAAGGTGGTACGTGCTCAGGAACACAGGCAGACTGTTTGCCACTTACAGATTAAAGCCACTTTGCTGATTGCAGTCCTTGCACCCACCCTGCCTCCCAACCAGCTGCCATTCTACACAAACAGAGAAGCAGATGGTGCAGGACACATCATCACAGCTCTAATTCCTCTAAATGTAAAGCTTTAACTATAGCAATTAACCATATCACTGGACTGATTTTTTTTCCCTCATGTTGAACGCACACAAACTTCTAGAACTTGCACTAATCCTCTGCACCCCAAATAAAGCATGTCTGCATACATGCAAACACATGCTCAGAATCATCTGCTGCCAGCTCCTACAGAAATTGATCTGAGATATTCAGCCAGAGATGAGGAAGCAACACAGATGGCCCAGGCCATAACTGGTATTTGCTGCACAGTTCCTGCCAGCAGCCACCATTTTCAGTATCTACTGCGTGGAGGAATGTTTGCATGGGCAGTTTAACAGCTGAACATCAGGTCTGCAGAACGTGAGTGAGGGTGTGCATTTTGCACATTTAAGTTTTTACAAATATAATTAAGAAGGATTTAAAATTAACTCCCAACACAACTTTGGGAATCGAGAACAATAGCATTTTTCTGTCTCATTTACAAATAATGGAGAACTCATCCTAACAGGCTGTGATGCCAGTGATAAGCACCCACTCACTATTTAGGAAAGATTCTGCTCCCGAGGTACAGAAAGTCAGGTTCTCTCTGTGTGCCTCCATCACAGAAAATCTAAACTTTGTGTTTCACTTAGTCTTTTTCCTCATTAGCACTTCAGACAAAAATCCTGGAGGGGAAGTCTTTGTTCTTCTGAACAAGAAAACCAAAACACAAGATCTGGCAGGAATGATGCAGAAAATGTTATACTGAAAATAATACAGTGCCTTGATTAGTCAAGTATGACAATAGCTGTTTGTTTCCTCTTTTTGTTGTTTTGTTGGTTTTTTTTTTAAACCTCCAAGGCAATTTGGAGCGTGCTAAAATAACAAGGCATTGCATAGCCATGCATCTAGGGCACAGGACGACAGGTCTCACCTTCTGGGTCATCACGGATTACCAGGAGGCCGTTCCTGCAAACCACTTTCCCAGTAGAGGCATCGATAAATATCAGGGAAGGAATGTTGGAGACTCTGTACTTGTTCCACAGTTTCAGCTGTAACACAGAGGGAGGGGAGAAGAAGAGAAAAGAGAGATAAGCTTGGCGGCGTGACCAGGGAGACTTTGGGGCACAACCATCTTTTAGACAAGGGCTCGGAGATAAGCAAAGAAATGGAGTTGATGCAGGATGATGCTGGAGCCACTGCACGCTGCCTGCCTCCTGCTGCAGGCTTGAACAGGGATGCAGGTACAGGCTTCTCCTTCAAACACATCTGCCTCACTGCAAGTCAAAGGGGATAACACTTACCAGCCCTGTACTGTGCTTTGAGGGCTTTGCTTAGAAGATATGGTAAGCACAAATACTTTTAATGCCACTGCTCTAAAGCAATTTGTAATGCTTTCCTGGCTGCTTCCTCTTCTCCAATTTCGACGTTCATTAAATAAATTTAATAACCTCTGCCAAGACACAGCCATGCTGAAAACAAGGCCAACACACAGAAACACGATTCTGCTCTAACTGGGGCTTCCCAGTTTTGTTCCCACTGAATGGGTTTGGCATCAGCCTGGGGGCTGCACTGCACGCTGCCAGCCTGGCTGCAGTCCTCTGCCCACCCCAAACAAAAGCCCTGCAGGCTGGAACGGCCGCACACTGCACGTCCCAATGTAGATTTTGCTGTCTCCTGGCCAGTTTGCTTTGCAGCTGCTTCCCACAGCATTTGGGTCTATGCAGCACATTTAGGTTTCACTGTCACTACACTTAATGGTTTTTCCAACATAAAAGCTACCTGAGAGAGTTACAAGAACTAACAAGCTTTCAGTGTATTCAAAATCCTCTTGGCTCTGAAGGAAAGTGTTAACACAATCAAAGAAGACGCTACTGATTTCCATTTACCAGGATCTAGAGAAATATATGGTACTGTGCTTGGCCCACCAGCCCTGAATTTCAAATAGACACATTTCCTGGGATAAGCCAACTCATTCATAATGCTCATTCACAAACCAAATAGCTTTGGGCACATAGAAGGGTAAAAAGATACTAAATGCAAACCAGCCCCCTGCAGTGAGTGTGGTCAAACCACAGAAGGTAAAATCCAACTCTGTGAAGTTTAAAGGGTGGGGGAGAGCTCTTTATAAGGATCACAAGCACATAATAGGGTGCTGCAAACAACGAGGAAATTACAACTAGCAATTGGATAGTTCTCCTCAAAGAGTTGCTTACATTTCACTTCATTTCGCCAAGCCTTTTGTATATGGAAAGCAGCTCCCTTAGGGCACTGCAGTGTGTTGTAGCATTTTGGCTTGGCTGAAGGAGCCCAGCAGGCAGAATCAGCTCGCTGCCTCCAAGGAAGGGGGCAGGGGCAGCCAGAGCATGGGGTAAAAGCAAACCAAACCCACTCTGGCTGGGATGGACAGAGCACACACACCTGGCTGTTGGTCCCTGGTCTCCAGCTGACCTGGCAGCTCTTACCAAGCAACCATATGGGGTTTCTGAGGGTGCAGCAGCAGCAGCTGGGGCCCAAACCACCCCTTGAAGAAAGGCTGCTCAGCTATTGACACTGCCAGAGATGTCATTATACCACTGCTTGGCACGGATGAACAAACATCACTGCCTGTAGGATGACCTGAATCACGTTGCCATTTTAAGGCCAGTTATAAAAGCTTTGAATTGCAAATTAATGGTCCCAAAGCATTAACCATATTAATTTTGGTGCCTGTATCAGAAAGCACACGAGCGCACTGTTAACACTGGAGCAGTCTGATTTGATGGCCCTGCTGTGCATTGGGAAAGCTGATTGGAATCGAGAACTGCATGCTCTGAAGGATGACCACCAGGATTTATCACCATCCCCATGGAGGTGGCCATTCCCACAGGCTCAGCCTTCCGGAGCCCAATGGCTCCTTGTACTGCAAGTCAGACCCGAAGGGACGCAGCCTGGATGGGAAACGGGCTCAATCATTTTCTCATGTATTTAATGCTGGAATTCAAATACCCTCTAATTCTACCCCTGCACACACACTTCATGGAGGAGACCACTCTGTGTTACGTCTGAGGCACCTGCTGCCACCTCTGCTTCTGCCCTTGAATCAGAATGTTAAACATTTTGTTGGTAGCAGTCAATACCCTCACAGGATAACTAAAATACAGGGAGACACCAGAGGCACCCTGGCACTGTTTAGGTATCTTAAACAACGAAAATCCAGGGAGCCGGTCACTCCCCAGGCACAACACGGGCTGTCGGTGATGTGCAGAAAGGTGAGCCCAAGAGGAAAGAGGCAGCTGCTGTGCAGGTATCTGGGCAAAGACAGGCAGATGTGCAGCTCTCCAAAGGCCACGTGTCGGGCGAGGCGTGGGATGCAGAACGCAAATTACGACTGGCTCTGAAACCGCAGGAAGATCGGATGATAGCTCAGGCAGCAGAGCTGAGTGCTGCCTCAGCAACATTTAAAAGCTGTTTTTCCTGTCTTGAAGAGGATGACATAGAAATAACACACTCCACACTCGGAGGATTTGATCATCCATTTAAAGAGGGGATCTCTGCTCCGCTTCCCAACAGCTGTTGCAAATCTGTGGGATCAAGCCAAAGCTAACACAGATGTGGAAATAATCTACAGACTGAAATCAGCTGATCCTCTCCGAGCGCTCCTCACTCCCGATCACTGTGCACGCCTGCTGAATTCAACACTCAACCCCAAATTCCTGCTGGAAAAGGAGCCTCTCTTAAGATGCCATGTAGGCTGATTGGCTTTACAGAACCCGATCTGGCTCCTGTGCAGGTGGTTAAGTCAAGCAGCCCAGTGGAAAAAACAGAGTCACTGGATTCCACCAGTAACCTTATCCATAATGCAAAGCATCACCACGCCATGCTGGAGGAGCTGGAAACCACAGTCCTGGGGCTTCTCCGTGCCTCCATCCACAACCAGCTGCAAGAGACTTTAAAACCACCACTTATTACTTGAGGTTTGAGGGTCCTAACCATGTGGGACATGAGGAGGGATGTAACCAGCAGTGCTGTAACCAGCTCCTGTTACCCTCTGGCAGGTGACAGTGATCCCAGACCGCAGGCACTAGAGCAGCACAAAGTATCCACGTTGGTCACGAGCAGCTCTCCACACTAGTGCCACATCCCTCATCCCTGGAGGACTTGGAAACGTCACACCTTGAGGCATGCTGGAGTAATTTTTCCCAATAAAGGTGTCAAACCAGAGGTCTCCCCGCTAGCAAACGGCTGTTTTTTGTTCGCAGCAAAATGGCTGGAATCTGGCCGGGGCAGATGAAATCTCCTCCTGCTCAGTACACGCTGCTGGAAAAGGGAACTCCTTCTCCTAACAGCTGCAGGTCGCTATTTCTGGTTCTGCTGATTGATTTATCAGCCCTGGTCACATTAACTTACGAACATAAATTCTGAGCTGTAGCGGTTAACACTGGCAAAGATAAAACACAACTGTTAGCTCTGCAATATGGGGGGACTGGGATGCAGCCCTGCTTTCGCAGGAGGTTTGCTCACCAGTCCCCTGGTAGCTGCATTTTTCCACTGTTGTGCAAACTGGGACTGCAACAGATGCTGCACTTCCATCCTCCATAGCTTAAGGAGCTGCCTCCAGCCAGAAGTGGGAGCTTTCAGCGATACCTGCCTGTGCCAGAAGGCACGGAAAGATTAATTCTGTGTGTTTTGCAGCTCTTACAGCTCTCGTCATTTCTCGAAGATACCATAACTAATCCTGTTTGGATTTCCTCCTCTCCTCCCCAGACCTCACTCCAAAGCACATCAGTTCACAAACACGTGAACCAGGAGGACAAGCTGACCAACACACGCCATTCAAGGTGACTAAAGTTCCCGTGGCAAATGAGAATAACAACTAGGAAACCTGCAATGGCAGAGGGACAGTGGGGAGGCTGCAGCCCCTCGGAACCCACAGCACCCTCGTTCCCCACTGCCCTGCTCCCACGGCCCCGCGCTGCAGGGACCCTTCAGTCCTGGCTCGCTCTCCATGTTAAATCACAGCTTTTACAGCGTGCCTTAAAGGGTTTACAAGCACCAGGGGCCACCCAGGCTCTGCAAAGAGCAACAGACTGCAGAACAACAGGCAGCTCCCTCACCCCGTGGACTTAAATCCACTTAACGCCTGTCCCAGCGATTCAGGCTGAGCTCAGGAGAAGGCCTCCCCTTCCCTTCCAATCTGTAGGAAGGGGGCATGGTGAGGGAACAAAACTCAGCTGAGTATAGAAGGGAGAGTTTTGGGGCAGATGGTGTCTGCCAGGGTCTGATCTTGTCATACAGGAGACCAAACAAGTGGGCTTGAGATAAATTCATGGCTGTGGTGCTGCTGCTTCTCTCTAAAAGGAAATTAAAATCTAATTACAAAACACAATGGTGAGAGAGATGTTGTCTCCTCCATTAATAAAACGAGGAGAGAGGATTTGGAATTGCAGTCAACAAGATTGCTGTAAATGCAATTGTCTGCACTTCCCCCCGCTGGCTGCAGCCCAACTGCATGAGCCGTGCAAGCAAAAACCAAAACCAAAGCCCCAAAGGCTGAATGTCAGAGCTGCCCCTCTGCAAGCTGTGGGGCTGTCTCACATCTGAGACGGGCACCGCTGCATGCCTGCAGCTTTCGTTCCTCCCTGCTGCACACAAGGCCAAAAACTTCCACGGTAAAGCAGAAGGAATCCCTTTTGTTAGGGTTTTTTGACCAAGCCCCTGCCAGCAGAGGACTGGTCTGTATGGATTTCCGAGGAGCACAGTGGTCAAAATTCTTGACCAAGGAGGGGCTCAGCCAGCACAACCCTATGCTTCCCATTGCATCGTTTCCTCCATTTTCCTCTCTCTGACCACTCTTGGTTTCCAGCCACTGCCCCAGCACCACCATCACAGGGTTCTGCACGTGGCTGCTGCCCCCACCACCAGCCCCGTCCCACGGCCACGTGCAACCAAGCTTTGTTAAATCCCATCAGGATTTGCACGGAGGGTCCAGGTGGACCCTCTGTCACCCTGCTGTCCTTCATCAAGGTGAGAAAATTGTCTGTGCTCCCAATGAAGCGTCCCACTTACTGCA